TGGACGGGGACCAGGGTCATGCGTCGATAAGCTCCAGGGGCAATGCCTGTCTCTTATACACATCTAAATACCATTTTTACAAACATTTACACGAGAATATTTAACATGAAGAAAAGGTTTATAACGAAGGTTACGAACAGGTACATTAAAATAAAACATTTAAAAAAAAGTTTATTTTATTCTGTGATTTAAAGCTTCAAAAAGTACCTTGTGCAATGCTAGGTCAGGCAAGGCCAGGTTTGTATTAATTATTAGTTCTGCACAATCCACAATGCTACAATAATGAACCTGTTGGGAAATTACCTGCCCTTACCAAGTTAATTCAGGTTTAAGGTTTTACTTATTTATTCACTTGCAACTTATAATATGCTAATCTTAACTTATGAGAGGTACAGCAAGTGACAGGGCTAAAAAGGTACCACGGTAAGTAATATAATATATATATATATATATATATATATATATCATAATTAGTATAATGCTGCAACCAACCTTCTGTTCTGCAACTATTTTTGTCTCTTCGTCCATCCAGTCGTTATCCTTTAGCATTTTGATAAACGCATTTTTTAAATAATGTGTCATTTCCAAAGTCTAAAGGGTGAATAAAAACAACGTTCACTATAACAGGTTATTTTATTTTTTTAGTTAGACAACTTCGACATATACATTCTATAAATTACACAGAGCAATCATCGCCATGTTTTCTCAAATAATGATAATTGTTTTCAACATATCGGTATTTTATCGATATAATCGTTATAATTTGTGAATTGTTAACTGATGTAAACCTAATTTCGTATAATTCAATTGATAGGCCCACAGTACTATGCCACAAAGGAGCAGACACTGTTCGATTGAGAAACTGGTATCAACATACTTTCTTCGTAAAAAAATCCTGGAATGCTTGCCAAGTGGTGTTATTAACATGTAAATAGCCAACACTTACTATAAAAAAAAACTTAGAAGATTACGAATAATGCTACATCATCTACGTCACTAATGAGAACGTTCTAGAGGTTTCACTTAAAATGACTGCTTTCCATGTTTTTCCTTAACAAGAATAACCTTTTCAATCTTGTAGTCGATTTTATATAGCCGGAGTTAGTTTAGACCTAGGAAACCTTGCTAAAAATGTAAGACACTTTCTCCATCAAAAAGCATTTCTATGAATGGAATGACCTTTTTGAAGCACGAACACTTGTAGACCAAACCCAATACCGTTACGAATTTAATCGTGCTAGAAATCCACTATGACAAGGGTTTGCCCAATACAGTCCATATACAGCTGGCTTGATTACGTTCGCTCCGCTCATCTTCGAGGACTTTTCGAGTAAATCCCGGTGTCACTACTGGGGGTTTGGCGGTGAATGTATTAGTAAAGTGTGCATATGCGCGGAATCTTCACGCAAGGTAGACTTTCGAACTGACAAACATAACAAAATATAATTGAGTAAATTGGACAAACATTTGTAACACTTTTTCAGTTCTCACAGCAGCCTGTTTTGTACACTTTCCAGAGTAATATTACTACCAAAGATGCTTAGCTTCAATCATGCTTTAATTAAATTACATTTAAGTATTTTGTACTGTCAATAAATAAATGACCACATTTTATTTTATTAATAAATTGTTGCGTACATTTGCTTTGCTATCAGCTGTGAACTTTTTATCGATGTACATCCGCCCAACAACGAACATTAATTTATTGTTTATAGATTCAGCACAAAACCTGAACCGAGGCTCTTCTGAACTTCGACCATAGAGTACCTGTTTAGAGAAAAAGACATGTTAGTTAGTACATTCATGGGGGTATAAAAATGGTACATTACATTCTTTAAACAACGTATACAAATATTATCATTGCTTGTATATATCTTATGCTTTATCATCATCATTATCATCGTTAAAATGATTGCGTATTTATTTTATTTTATTTCTTTTATGTATTTATTTAGGCACACAACACATGCACCAAAGATTGTCAATAGCGATATGACTGTCCTACGTGTGACAAGCTTTTTCACAAGAAAATTCACATAACACGATGTTTTACACAAACTAAATCTTAGTAAGAGGTTTAAGGAGTGAAGTTGTTTTGGTCGTGAGAAAAAACAATCCTGCAACACTGACATTATTTGAACTCAGGGCCCTGGGATAGGAAGACAAGTATCTTAACCACCAACCTTATCCTCTATGTATTACAGTATTTAAAAATAAAGCATTTACTGTAATACAGTAACTACGTGTGCGGCGTTGCAATGAATCACTGACTGGCAATTTAGAGCTCCATGAGTTAAGCGATAGCCATATATAAAAAGTAGCTGCAAATCTACTAATGATACTTTGACACAAATTGTGAAAATTGCTAGTAGCTGCTGGCCATCAATATAAATAAATTGGTTATAAATCCATTTGTATCAATTATTAGGCTAGATTAATTTTCAGTATTTAGAATCGAATAATATTGAATAATTGATCTTTTCGCTAAACCCAATCCATTGGATATTGTTGCTAAGATACCAAAAAATTAAACGCGTGCGTTTATGGGACAACACTTTTAAGTTTGCGCGTATTTCTGGCCCTGTTATGATTGGCCAGTTGTTAAGTTTGGCTGACACCACGAAAATAACCCTGACTAGTTGCATTGGAGTATATTGTTTACTTGCTACTATTGGAGATAATTAACTTTCGTAGGATAATATCAAGTTACCTTGAGATACTGTTGGTTGGCGTAACGAAATCGCTCTCCAAGTTTAGAAATGAAATTCATTGTAAGTCGCCATATAAAATAGTTAACAACAACCCTAAGTAAACAATGAAAATTATAATATGAATAATTAGTTGTGCTGTTGTATAAACACAGTGAAAATCGGTCAGTAGGGAATACCGGTACTTCATATCCTCACTATGTTTAGACTTAATTCCAATCCAACTTTTGAGTTGGTTATTTGGAGCAGTGACGTCATCTGTATGAGGTAATTAATCAAAACATTGGATACCAAATAGTGAGGCTGTACTGTAAATTTCTATAAATCATGGTCAGATTAATTTAGTTGAGAATGTAATGTATTAAAAACTAATTCAAAAGTTAGGGTGTATTATATAGCTGACTTTTATGTAAAACTTTGTCGCTATTTTTTTTATTTTTTTTATTCTTTATTCTTTATTCTCAACCAACAGTGTAAAACACCAATAATAGGTTGAAATAAAATTTTCAGTAAACAGAGCATAAATGTAACAATACAAATTAAAAAATGAGTTCATTAATAATACTTTTAAATTGCGAGTAATTACAGTTAAAAATATCCAAAAAATTATTCTTTAAAAGACTAGCGTTATAAGCTGACGAAATTCTACGGAAAATACCATTTTTACAAACATTTACACGAGAATATTTAACATGAAGAAAAGGTTTATAACGAAGGTTACGAACAGGTACATTAAAATAAAACATTTAAAAAAAAGTTTATTTTATTCTGTGATTTAAAGCTTCAAAAAGTACCTTGTGCAATGCTAGGTCAGGCAAGGCCAGGTTTGTATTAATTATTAGTTCTGCACAATCCACAATGCTACAATAATGAACCTGTTGGGAAATTACCTGCCCTTACCAAGTTAATTCAGGTTTAAGGTTTTACTTATTTATTCACTTGCAACTTATAATATGCTAATCTTAACTTATGAGAGGTACAGCAAGTGACAGGGCTAAAAAGGTACCACGGTATACTTTGAAAATGATCCTGTGGGAAAAAGACCCAATTTCAAACTAAATCTCATCTTATGGTGTAAATTTATATTCATTCACTTGGAATTAACATTTAATGTTTTCTTGTAAAAAAAAATTATACCCTTCAAGGTGAGACAAAATTTGCTACTTATTTCTAAGCTTCTTTGGATTATTTCAGTTGTGTCGATTGTTACTCATGAATAAAGAAGTCTCTAATAAAAGTTTTGATAATTAACGCCCTCATTCGTCAAGCAACTTTTACCCAACCTTGGTGGCGTATCCACGACGGCTAATTGCGACACTTCACGAATGAATCTTGGATTACGGTTGACGATTGGTTCAGAATCCGTGATTGGTTTCACCTTGTCAGAAATAACAGTGTCAAAGTAGTATCTCCAGTCAATCTACAGAAAAACATGAACACGAATAATACATACCTTTTTCACTAAACTAAATTTAATTCAAATATTATATAGTACAGTAATACAAATATAAGAATAATGTTAATAATAATAATAATAATAATAATAATAATAATAATAATAATAATAAAATAATAATAATAATAAATTATTATTATTATTATTATTATTATTATTATTATTATTATTATTATTTGTAGTTCAAAAGAAAAGTAAACGTTGTCAAATAATGTATTTTGCAATACCATGGAGTCGCATCAAGGAGAAAGAATGGGGGAAAAGATAAAATACCAGGAAATTGCAAGGACACTGAGAAAATTATGGAAAATAAAAACAGTAATCATTCTTGTTGTAATCGGGGCATTTGGAACAGTTCCAAAGAAGTTAAAGGAACATATTGGTATAATAATAATAATAATAATAATAATAATAATAATAATAATAATAATAATGATAATAATAATAATGATAATAATAATAATAATAATAATAATAATAATAATAATAATAATAATAATAATAATAATAATAATAATAATGATAATAATAATATATAATATAATAATAATCTACTATAGATTTAGATCTACAGTATAAGCTTGTCAAGTGATTCTTACCAACGGCACATTTGCTGACAACTCTTTCAACGTCATTAGGTTGTACAAAGCTTCGCTGTCTCTTCGTTCGTCATTAGGAGTGGTTAACTACAAGGCATACGAAAACAAGATTTTCTTTGAACTTCGAGCAAATACAATGGCTAAATTATAATAATATGTCTGCTTCCAACTTAAGGTCATGTTGGTGTAATGCAACAATTTGTGCATATGATTATTGTGCAAAAATTATGATAGATTAATGTATTTATTATTAAACACAGGAAAACAGATAAAATGAAAAAAAAAATAACGAGTCTCTCAGTTTAGGCACACTCACATTGGCTAACTTTGTCTCAAATTCTAGCAGATCAGCCATATCTTGTTTAACCGTCAAAGGATCACCCTTCAACATTGTTGCTATTGTTGTCATATATTTTAGATATGCTTCTTTCACCTGTGAGAGGAGGCAATACATTTTGACTATTAAAGCTATTATTTACCACAAAAATCGAAATTTGTTAAAGATTCATCGCAACAGTGTTTTTTAATACTAACCCATTATGCTAAAATAACATGATCAATGTAAAGCCACTTACCAGAGACTACAATATCAATTCGATTATTTAGGTTTAAAAAGTTAAAACCCAACTTTCATACAGGAAAGACTACATTGACGCATTGTCTTTTTAAATTCATATCGTGTTGATACGAAAATAAGCAAATAACTATATATTTTTCATACTATGCTTACCTTGGCATATTTAATATCCAAGTAGTACTCTCTGCTAGGCATACCAAAACTAATTTGCTGGTCGATCTGGTCAAATATTAAACATAATTACATAATTAAGTTAAAATTTTGGGATATATTGGACTGGGACCAGGGTCATGCGTCGATAAGCTCCAGAGGCAATGCTTCGGTTATGTGCTAAGGTGAGACCCAGGCGTGGCAGACTGGTATTTGGCCCTTTCGTAAACCCGCCGTGCCAACCATGAGCCGCCGTGACCAAAATTGTCTAGTTTCTATGCATACGTTAGAATTTTGTGTCGTCGTAAGCGCGATCGAGTTTGTGAAAAAGGAACGTAGGCAATCATCCAAACAGGGGATTGGGGGGGGGGGGCGAGTTCGCTTTTGACGAACTTTTAGAGAGTTCTATAAAATATGCGAAAACCGATATTTTCATGATATTTTACACCAGAAAAAACAAAGTTTAAACGAAATGATGTAAAAATTTCAGAAGATTACGACTACGCACAACAATAGGTCCACTAATACTAATAGTAGTATAGTGGGCCTGGGTGGAACTAGTCTAGCCTAGGCCTACTCAAGCTAGCAGCGGCGTATCTAGGGGTTTTGAAGTAGTAGTGCTGCTGGTGGGGCGCGAAGGTGAATTGTGGGGGGGCTTAATGATTAGTTATAGTTAGTTATATTATTGTTTACTTTATTTCCATACCCGATTTTCTTTATATTATTTGAAAACACCTGCGCTATTTCTAAAATTTGTCAAATAGTCAGCGGCACGCTGGAGTAGAGATAAACTATTGAAACCTATACACAAAAAGTCAGGTGCACTTACCATTAATATGTACCTGGAGGAATTTTTATCATCAATATTCACGAATGTAGAAATTATGTAAGGTTCGGATAATTCGCCAGTGAGCTTAGCCCAGAGTGTTTCAAATTTATATCCATTACTGGACCACTTTCCGCCTGGACTTGTGCCAAGAACTGGCCATCCTCCTAGGTACTCCATAAGGTCAATTAACGGAGATGCGTCTTTTGCCTCGATTGTTTCTTGTCAAAAATTAAGTAAAACGATGCATGAGTATCATATAAATCGTTCCTTTTTTCATCTTTACCGAAATATGATTCAATAATGTTTAGAAATATTGATTTGTTTATGTACTTCAGGGGTGTAGGTTCACTCTGTGATATGAAATGACGAATATATGATATTCAAATAAAGTCAAAGTCATCACACATAGGCCTAGCATTGCGAAGCCAACATTGACATATTTTTTCTTTATAAGTTTTCAGAAAATGTATTATTACTTAATTAGGTAATGCTATAATCGTACTCATAAAGTTACGGTATATAATAGAGGGGATGGAAGAGATACCTAATAATGATATAAAGCAATTGGGGATGCAACCGAAGGAGGCAAATGAAAACGTAGATTGCAACTGGTGAATAATAATTTGTGAGACCCTAAAATCGATTATGTCAGTGCATTTCAAAATCTTGATAGTGCTTTTCCTACGGTTTTACATCTCTGTCTGTTGCTCCTTTACTAGCTTGTTAGTAACTTTTAAAACAATCATGTGCGAGGACTCTTGTATATCATTTAGCATCAAACAGATAAAATAAAGTGTTTACAACGAGTCCAGTTCTCTAACTGGTCACATTATAATTACATACTTTGATAAGATCCTCCTTTGTCTGATGATATAGTGACTGACCCCTTAACCGTTTAATCAAAATATAAACATATTTCCATATAGAAAATGTTAATAAAAAGTTAATTTAACGAATGGTGGGCCGCTATGCTGAAATGTAGGGTTACCAGGCTCTAATATTACAGAAATCTCCAACCTGTTCTATTGCTTTTATAACATCTTCTAGTTTTATATTCCCGAATTCAATTTGTTTTTTCAATCTATCTCTGAATGTCTGTAGATAAAATGTTCCCATTACCTTTATAAGGTACAAGTGATTAGAAAGTAATAAAGTACATAGAATCGTGATCGTGAAGGCCAGCCACATTTTGTCTATTGCTCCCGTACGATGCAAGTTTATATTTTGTTTTAAATAGACCTAAAGGCCTGTTTACACTTCAACGATAACGATAAAAATGCTAAAAAGCGATTGTTCATATAGAAAACAAAAGAAATAAGATAAGTTTTTACGCTAGGACGATTCTATAACGATTTATCGTGTATGCAATAACAAATTATTTTAACAAATCAAATCAGATGACGTCATAATCATGGACAAACGATAAAATCGTTGATACTACGACGATAATGTTTTTCCATGATTATGACGTCATCTGATTTGATTTGTCAAAATATGTTATCGCATAACTGATAAATCGTTATCAAATCGTTCTAGTGTAAAAACTTCTCTTATTTCTTTTTTTTCTATATGAACTATTACTTTTAAGCTTTTTTATCGTTATCGTTATCGTTGAAGTATAAACAGGCCTTAACTCTGATTATTTGTAGGCCTATGCTGTCTACGTTACGATTTGAAATATAGAGCCTCATTTTCACATGGCATACATACTTTTTATATAAGCTTTAGATTTTAATCAGCCGGGCGTGAAATGTAAGAGGTGTATTTGAGATTTTTGGTCGAAAATACCATACATTGTTAGACTTTTGCCAATCTTTCAATTATCTATTACCAGTTCTAATTTCTTGGTCTACGGGAATCTCGCTACGCTCTTAAAATGACCCAATAGACCTTTCCGGAGTTTCAATCAAACTTATCAACTGACTAATCAGAACAGCGCTAGGGATACGCGCGCGTTTCACAAACACACGTGTTGTCCCACAAACGCACGTGTTCGCGTATGTTTTAACACTGTCGTCTTGTGGGACCTTAGCAACAATATCCAAGGGGCGGGGCTTAGCGGAAAGGTCCATTGAGTTGTGGCCACTAGTCAGAGGTACTTTAAAATGACGGGCATTTGTTCGTACCTTCATCCATACACGATTTGTAGAAATTTCTAGCTTTCCTGAAAGAATTTGGTTCGTCTGGTTTAACAGCCTGTGACAAAGTATCTGTCAATAAAAAAATATTTAAGCCTATATTTTAGGAAAATGAATAATATGTATGGACTACAAGATGTACCTTAAAGATCACAAAGACCTAAGGATATGTCAAAATATTGGTCTTTTGCAATAATTCTAAATTCCATACCTGGTATTCATTTCCCTAAGCCATAAAAAACGACCTATAAGACGAACAATCAAATTCCCTCATAGAATCCATTTCATTTTTGAAATAACATAATATTTACCAAACATTAATTAAAATAAATAAATAAATACGTTTGATTAGTCACAGTTTTTATACACAGACATATAATTAGATTTATCATCAATAATGTCGTAAAACAAAAATATTTCCCTAAACACTGGTTTTTGCCAAAAGCATAGCATTTTTTTTAGCGCAGCTGCTATATGCACATTTTGTATAGTGTTGTTAGAATACAAAAAATATCCGCTCCTATTGGTTGTAACGTATCACATGGTTAGGTGACAAGCGCTATGGGAATATTTGCCCTATAAAAAAAAATATATATATATATGTATATATATATGTATATAAATATATTATAAACAAGTATAAATATAAATATACAAGTAAACAAGTAGGTAGCTGCATCGGCTTCAGTAGAATAGTAATAAAACGCATAAAACAAAGTATGGATGAGCCGTAACTTTTATTAGTAAAAACACACAAACGAAGGGCGATGCCCGAAAACGTTTGTGTGTTTTTACTATTAAAAGTTACGGCTTATCCATACTTTGCTATATGCGTTTTATTACTATATATATATATTATATATATATATATATATATATATATTACTTTTTTGCCTTGGTTTGGCTCTGTAATCATTAGTGGTAATATAAATATGGTGCCACGTATGATCCACATAAATAAATAATTGGTTTTGCAAACCAAATATAATATGCCTATATTCCAGAACAAACGATAACCGAACAGAAGATAACCAATATGGATAAGCATTCTTTGTTACAGTATCTTTTACAATTTTATTACAAATAATTATGAATTTACCTGTAGAAATAATAAATCCTATGACGACAAATGTAAGACAGACTGCAGTAACCAAGAGTACTCGCTCCATACCTCGATGCTCCATTCCCGTCTCTATCATTATTTTTGATTTACTACTACTGGCACTGTCTGGCATTGTTGACGTCATGCTGACATTTGATTTCTAATGCTCTCTTACTCCTACAAATGAAATATTCTAATTTACCCATATAAATTATTGAAGCGATAATAAAACTTGTTTACGTTGCGATCGCTTATAAAATACTTGAAAAACCAACTTGTGCGTCCAAATGCCTAATCGCATATTAAACTGAAGTGTTGGACCTTCCTCTTGTTATAATTGTGGAGTCCACAGAAAGTCGGCTTTCCCTACAAGAACCAACCTCACATCCAATCACTGAATTGAAAGATCAAGTTGTTTAAAACGGTTTTAGAAAGATAATGGGCTAATCAAATTATAAGATAATCTGAGATTACAAACCCCCGATCTGTCGCGCGCAATATATATGTAATGAAAAAATAATGGCATATATGTACATTGTAGCTTTTTTTAACCAATATAGTGAAAAATTCTTTAAAAATAAAAAAAAATCCGTATTCCAATATCCGATTAGCAATAAATTCGTGGCAAATGCATGTAGAATTAATAATAAAACCATTTTATTATTAGACATAATTTGACACACCCCCTAGTCTGGCCTGCGGTCGATCCGCTCAAGTCGGCTCGGCCTTGCCAAACGAGAATCATATGCCTCACTTGGCAAGCCAATCAATCTGCATCTTCCGATCTGGACAAAATTTGAGGACCGAAATCGGTCCAGTTGTTTTAGAGTTATACGCCAAAAAGTACATACACACGGACACACACAGACAAACAAACACACACACAGATGGCGGCGCGCTATTGCAATACCCTTCATCACTCAACTTCGGAGAGGTTAAGATAATAATAATAAAAACAAATATTTATATAGCGCCAATTCAAAATTTATCAAAGGCAATAAGTGAGGAATTAAGGCAAATTAACTTTCCTGTAATAAATAAGTTTTAATTCTAGGAAGAAATTAATTTAGTCTTTGGTTGATTTAGTATATTGTTGATTTCTTTAATATATAGACTACAGATTTGAAACTTATGTACTGTATGACAGTTTCGGGCGCTAACAGCTACCTTTTTCAAATAACTGAAATATATATAAATTAATCTAAGTTTTTAATTTTTAGACTATTAAAGAAATTAACATTACACTAAACAAGTTTTTAGAAAAGAATGCAAATTAGGCGAACAGTGAAAAAAAAAGTCTTTCTTAAAAAGAAAAGGCACGTTGACCATAATTTATATGTCAGCACAATGAATAAACGAAATTTTATAGAATAGAGTTTTGCATAACACAGCCAAAACACACTCGAATCATTTTTCCATATGCCATACGTCTAACCTAGTCTGTCGACATTGACCCGATAACCTCAACATAATGTTTGTCCGTTATTATAGTTTTTTTTATGTGTAAGTGAATGTTTGTATTTTGTTATATAATTGCTCTTAATGGCTCACAATTAAAAAAACAAATTTATTTTAATTTAATTAGGCTAAATAAAAAATACTAAATATTATTTGTATTTACGGCTTATTATCGATACTACCTAGAGCAAAAATATTAGATAAATTACCGTGTGTTAGTGTCAAATCCAAATCGGAAATGCAATAACAATGGTTGAATAAGGCAAAAAAAAAGCACTGTTGACCTAATAATCATAATGAAAATAGCACAAGAACGACAAATAAATAAAATAAAATTTTTCTTGAGGGCTTGCATAGCGAGATCAATAACAAAATCAATTAACTGCCGGTACACCATGTAAAAATATGGATTTTGAGGTAAAACCACACTAGTCTCGAGGTTTCTCAGGAGAATGATAAAAGATGACTTCTGTTGTTGCCAGATAGTTGACAGACTTCGCGGCCAAACACACGCCATCTCACGGCCAAATTCGGCCAAACTTTTTTTCGATGTGGGCCAAAATTCGGCCAGATTTTAATCCGATTAGAAGACAACAGTGGGTACATATTCATTTGAAATACTACAAAAATTACACGAAAATCAGCGGTCATTCGTTTTTAAATTGAAGGAATTCAAATGATGTACACAGAACAATGTTAAACTTTCACTGTTTTTCTTTTAATTAACTTATCACCATAAAATACATGCCCAGCCTAATCATAAATAGCCTATGTTCTTTAGTTGCTGGCATGTAGGCCAATTCAGGGGCGAATCCAGAGATGTCCGAAAGGGGAGGAGCCGGGGCCGAAAAATGGGAGAGGAGGGGGGGGGTAAGTGGGTCCGATCAAGATAACATCATCTTAGAGGAAATGTTTGTTTTCTAATCGCCCGAATATAACCTGATGCGTTTGGACGATAAATTTTTCTTTCTTTTTTTCACCCCCACCCCCACTAAATCCACTATTTAAAATCACATTATTAAGTTTGTTCTAAATTTGATTTAAATGAATTAAATATTAAGGTACATTGTAGTCGATCTATAGCAAAAATTTTAAGGGCCTGTTATTGGCAAATCCGTGGCTCTCTTTAATTAGAATGAATTAAGTGACATAGTTAGGTAACACAAACTGGCGTTCAAACAAACCTATGAACACTTTAATAAATACTTTTTATCTAAACTTTCTAAATTCGCCTCTGAATGTTATTGTCGCAGTACTTAAAGCAATAAATCAATGTTGCTATCAGAATTATCTTCTTCATTCTCATATGCAACCTAACTCCAAAGTAACTTCGAAGAAGTCCCTGCAACACTTGCTTTAAATTGGAGGTGCCATCGGATCCGAATGATCACATCGAGCATTTATATATGACGCTCTACATAAAGAGCACTGCAGCACCTTAGGACTCGGTATAATTCAAGTGGGCAATAATTTAATTAAAGTACAGTATTTAATTTATATTCAAAAGAAATCCAAGAGATAGAACCTCCACTAGGATGGAACATATACATAGAGACGCAATATATGATACAAACTTGCATTGAACTGTCTTCATAAAGCTTAAACGAGGATAAACTTCATAAAAAATATACATTTCATCCGAAAAATTTGCATTATTAAATGTAACTTATTTTTAAAATAAACTCTCTTACGTCAAATCGGCTAAAAGGGGAACATTGATTAAGTGTTTAGTGCAAGTACAAACAAAGGCGCATGATTAGAATCAAATATAGAAATTAAGCTAACAAAAACAACATATCAAAAACAAGTCTACGTTATATTAGGCCTATATTGAAAAAAAAAATGTAAATTTTTCAAAAATTCGGCCAAATATATTTTGGCCGTGACTTTTTAAACGTTACGGCCAGGCAAATTTTTATACGGCCAGATTTGAGGAATCTGGCCGTCAAAAAGGCCAAATGGCAACCCTGCTTCTGTTGGTCTTGTATAGAGATGGTGATCGTCCTTGAAAAATAATGGATCACCGACGATACCATCTATATAAAAGAGTAACAGAAGTCATCTTTTATCATTCTCCTGATGACGGTCAGAGCAATCTAACCGAAATTTTGAGACACCCAACCTGCAGTCTTACCTCAAAATCCATATTTTTACATATGTTGTACAGAAAGTTAAATTATTTTGTTAGCAATGAAAAAACAAGGACAATAATAACAATGATATTAATAATAATAATAATAATTATTATTATTAAAATTATTATTTTTATACATTATATTTTCTTTTGAATTAACCCACATATTTACATTTAAACTAACTGTATGTCATCTGAAGAAAACAAGCGTCAACTTTCGGTGTTACATTTATTTAAACCATTTTCCCATATGTCATTCACCTAACCATGGACCTATTAATATGTAACCTCCACTGTCGACATTGACTCCGACAACCTCAACATAATGTTTATCCGTTATGACATTTTTATACGTTTTTTAGTGTACGGTGAGTTTTTGTATTTCGTTGAATAACTGATATTAATAAATTGCTACAAATTGTTACAAATAAAAACAAAATCTTAACATGAAAATAATTAGACTAAATAATAATAATTACAATAATAACAATAATAATAATAACAATAATAATAACAATAATTATAATATTATTATTCTTATTATTATTATTATTTACTGCTTAATATCGGTATTATCTGTAAAAAAAATATTAGATAAATTACTATGTATTTGTGTCAATTATCCGAATAAGAAGTATAATAGCAATGTCTGAGTTAGGCAAGAAAGCTCTGTTGAATAATTATAATGAAAATAACACAAGAACAACAACAATAAAATAATAAATAATAATAATAATTATAATTAATAATGATGATGATGATCAATTAGTTTTCTTATAAAAAACGTACTGGTAAATTGTGTTTCACATACTGATGTGCTGGTATTTACACTTTTCTCCCAACCATTTTCCAGTAGTGTTCAAAAATACTACTAAACTGCTGTCCAAGTAAATGGGAACTGAAAGACGGCAACTCCTTTCACCACTAAGTGGAACATAGTTCAACGAGCACACCAGTAGGCCTACAACTAAGCGCTGCGATCTATGATTAGGAGATATGTATTACATCTATTTACCTACAATATTATATTAATACAATATATTATATTAGCTCTAGCACGAGTTTAAACTTTAAAGTGGCATCGAGCACTGTTTCCCCAAAAAATTAGATAATTTAAATTTAGTTAACCCGCAAAAATTACATTTAAACTTACTGACCTTTCGAAGATGTTCAATCCACTCCCTCCACTGTTGAAAATCACAAAATAATACATTATTATACTTTCATCGGAGGATGACATGCGCCACCGTCTGGGTTTTTTATTTTATTTTACAGGGTCTGCTACTTAAATTACTACCAATAATAGTATCATAAACTATGTCAAAAACTCATTTGACCTCGTCTATATGGTGTTCTGTGCCTTTCTCATAATTATACAATTGCTTCCTTTGTTCCCTGTATATCTAAGTGGCGAGTCAGCTGTGGATATAATAATATTATCTAGATTAGCTACAACACAAAAATTGGAAGCTATTAGATGAATAATTAACATAAAATTATTAATTATTACAATAATCCGTAAGTCGTAAAGTTTAAAATTATCTGAAACTATAATATGCTAGTTTAAGGTTTATATTATTCCCATTCTCCCAGTTGTCCTTGAACATCAGTTGACCGAATTAGTCACAAAGTGGGTTTAACATCAAAACACAAGCTTCAAAAATGTTTATTTGTGTATTTGAAACAGAGTGAAAAAAACAGATGGGAAGACCATTTTTGCAAAGCATTGTCGTGTTAACACGGGCGGGCATAGATTCAGATTCATTTAATTTGTCACATACATACATGATATGTTTCTACCTGGGTTATTATTAACAAACAAAAACACAATATAAATATAACACTAACACTATAACAGTGTATACAATATTATAATTTAACATTTGGCAAACGGATAACACTGAGAAGAAAAAAGTTTCTATGCCTATATGTTTTGTCATTTGGTTTGGTTTGGTTTGTCATTCTTCCAGATCGGCTAAAGCTAATATCACTGTTTAGTGGGTGATTTTTGTCAATAATTATTATATTAAGTTTAGTAAGCCTGGCTTTTCATATATAGGCCTATCATAAAAATGTAATGTACTGTACTTCAATTTGCTTGCAGTATTTATGATTACTGTAAGTTGTTCTATGTCAGCCCACACAGCCAAAGTATGCAGCAAAAAGTAACAACAGACTGTATTGCACTTTGGCAAAACAAAAACAAAGCATCCCTTCCTTGTAAAGTTTCCGAGGTTCCTCAAGAAATGAAGTCGTTGGTATGATTTTTTTGTATATAATTTACTTGTCTTTGCATTCCAACTTAAATATTCGTCTATCCAAACATCTAAGGTGTTTGTACTTATCAGTTCTTTTTACCCTTGCTATTTTCACTTAAAATATCACGAACCTAAATTACTACAGGAAATTTTATTTTTAATAATAATAATAATAATAATAATAATAATAATAATAATAATAATAATAATAATAATAATAATAATAATAATAATAATAATAATAATAATAATAATAATGATAATGTTGTTTTATATAGCGCACATATCCATCTAACATAAGATGTTCAGGGCGCTTGATATGTGGACTATGAACTCGATCAAAGACATTTCTGTTTACCATTGATATTTATCACTTAAAAAATCACGAACCCAAAGTGCTACATATGGATCAAGTTGTATGTTTCTAAATTATATTAAAAATTACTACCCCTAAGGGTCCCTTCGTGTCTGTGCTACACGGTAACCCGGTACCAGCAACTCTCGTCGTCCACCACAGGGGCTGTCTGTTCCAGTACACCGGATCCCACTTCGTCTCGAAGGATGTACTGGGTTCTTTGTAGTGCACACTAGTATACACTGGGCCTACGGTTTATAGTCCTTATCCGAGAAGACTTGTTCTACCACCAGAACGATTTTAGGCGAACGAGCCGTTCAAACCAGCGCCAATATTTTGGCTGTGGCTTGCGGCGCCACTGCTAACCGCTCGGCCAATTTGACTCGCCAGTCAAAAATGTTTAATTAAAAGTAGTACTGGCAGAAAGTTAATCTACTTTTAAATGTTGATATTTTTTATGTTATTGGGAAAGCAATTTATTGCTTTTTAATTTAATCTTACAAAGAAAAGTATATGTATTATTATCTAGGTTTTATTTTTAAGGAAGCAATTATTTCTTTTAAGTATTACAGAACAAGCATTCGTGTGAATTATGTTTATATTTCGTTTATTAATTTTAAAAAGGTATTTTCACTCTAATAAAAAAATTTGCATAAATAGAAATTGTATAAAAAAAGTACGGAAATTTTACATTTAAAAAACAATCAAAAATTTGTATTTTTAAAAGTATTACTGAAAGAAAATTAATTTATTCTCTATGGTTCAAGCATACCTCCATGGTTCAAGCGAGTGTGTGTCATTTGGTCAGAATATAATATTATTATATACCGGTATCGCAATGACTGACTGTAGATGATGAAGCAGTCCATGGGAAGAATGAAAGCTGGATGCAATGTTCGCCTGCTGGTTTTCTGAACAAAGATGTTGTTTGTATTTTTAATGATAACAGTCGGGTCTTAAAAGTATTACTCTTACCATCAGAATGCTTAAATGTGGGGTTGATACTTGGGAGAAAACTGCTGTCTAAACTATGTCTCGATATGAGGCTAAGAAATTGAAGTTGTGAGGGAAGGTTTTGATTTTTGCAGGATTTAAAACTTGAACTCTAGAATTGGAAGGCAAGGCGTTTACAATCAATCAATCGCACATCTTCACTTTTTAGATTGTAAATATAAACTAGATAATAAATTATAATGGGCCTAATAATAATAATTATATAATTCTCACAGCGCGTTACAGAATGATGGGATGCTGATATACAATTTGCATATAATCATTATTTAATTATTATTATTTCTGTATATTTTAAATTTATTTAATTTTTAATAGAACGCTTGTTTGAATAAATGATTTTTAGACGGGATTTAAAACTGTTCACTGTGCTACACTGGGTAATATCACTTACATTGTCGTTATGGCTTGGGATGTAGAAGGCGTTGACAACAGCAGGGTCGAATATTCATCTTTATATCATTTTTAAAACAGAATAATTAAGATTAAAAATTACAATTACAATTACATTTACATTCTCTTCCTTCAAAAAGAGACTTTATTCTGTATAGAATAATACAGCAAATGGCAAAATCATATGTAGGTGAGGTACAGCGCACTAACAGGATTCCGCTATCCTGTTATCCAACTTTAAAAGAAACATTCAATTGATAAGTGTACGAAATTAATTAATGCCATTTTTTAATCAGACAGGGCTCATGAGAGTGGGAATAAAAGTATTATCGTGTTCATGAAAGTGTTCATGAAAATCCTCATAATTATAAAGGCAAACTCTTGACGTACAGCTTGTAAATATCATTTACGTCGAATATTATTATCTTATGTACTTTTGTTATGTTTGGTTTTTATTGTATACAAATACATAAAATGTACTATATACAACACATCCAAACGTATAGAAATTACGCCATGTTAAGTAAAAATATGGCTTATTTCTTATTCTGTTTCGTCGATTTCTTTGCGCAATTTTCAAAATTTTTTCCAAGCTGCCTACTTCGATATTCAATTTCGTTTGCAAAGTAATCGGAGTCGTCAAATTCAATCTAAGGAATGTTTTGAAAAAAAAACAACAAAAAAAACAAACAAAAACAAAACAGAAGTTTTGCCATAACAGAATATTCTAAAGCATAATATTGAATACTGCTCCGTCTTTAACTGTAATTATAGACATTTGCAAATAAAAGTCAAATTACTTTTTAAATTAAGAACATGAGCCAATAATAATGTTGTTTATAATGTTAAAGCAGGTAAGATAATAGGCCTATGCCTTCTGGTAAAGAATATGGTAAAAAATAGATTATACAATACATGATAAAATGTTGCGATGGATGTAGTCTGTGGACATTCTTTATTGTCACATATTGACTTATTTAGCGACTAACATGGTCATTTTTTAATATTTTATTCCATTATATTAGTGAAAATTTAGTGTATCAGCCGCACTAATTGTCAGGTCAAGATTATGTTATCTTGCTATTGGTAAACATGTAGCCCAATGCTATCCTGTCGCTAAAGTAAATGTTAATTGCAGTGGCGTAGAAAAATATTTTTCATTGGGGGGGGGATGATTGGCGTGTTAGCCAGTGTCGTAACAGGCACGGGGGGAGGGAAGGGGCAGGGGGAAAACTGCCCCTCCCCTGACGGTTTTTACCGGGCCGACCAAGCCGTCGTACCGGGCTGGGTAATAAGAGAAAAGAAAGAGGGGAGAGGGAGGG